TGTTTATACATGTTTACTGAACTTTTTGCCTTTTGTTTTGGTTCAAGTTGTTGTTGTTGTTGTTGTTGTTGTTGTTGTTGTTGTTGTTGTTTACTTTTTTGGGCTAATTTTAGCTTATTTCTGCTTCTATTTAATAGATTTTAGCTTTTTTTCTGCTTTTCTTATTGTTCTGATCTTCTCTGCTTTTCTAATTTCAACTTTGTTTGTACTTCTATCAGATTATTCCTGCTATTTTAGAATTTTTATGCCTCTTTGAGCTGTTTTCTGTGTTTCTAGTTACTTTTTAGCTAATTTCAGCTTTTTTCAGCTAAATTTATCTTTTTGTGATTATTACAGCATCTTRCTGCTTAACTCAGCAAATGAAATATTTGTTTCTTTGTGCTACTTTCAGTTATTTAAACTATTTTAGGCTAGTTTAAGTTTTTTTTAGCCATTTCAAAACTAATTGCAAGTTTTTTAAACTTCCTTTCTAATTTTAAAACTTTACTCCCATCTCCCTTTCTGGTTTCATCTACTTTTAGCTTCTTTTTGCTCAGTTTAGCTTCATTTTTTTTCTCTCCAGATTTGCCTTTCTTCACTACCTTCCTAATTTTATCACAATTTAACTCACTTTAACAGTTTTGCTATTAAACCTTTACATTAAGATTTAATGTTTAAGCAAAACATTTTCAGCCTTAAGCATTRTCACTGCATTTTCACAGGAAATGTAATGTTGACAAGAATGGTGTAATAKCTACCTGCAAGGAAAGGAAAAAAAGGCTTTTAATGCAAGTTTTAGTCTTTGCTGTTAATTGAAATTCAGTCTCTGTTTTAGTGAAGCTTTTAATCAAACTATAAACGAACTGGTGAAAAATGCAGAGTGGTTCTGAAAATCTCACAGTTCTATTGCACATGTATGCACAACCTGTGACGGTTGGAAGTGAGCTGAGACTGTCACTTCTTCTAATTCCTGCTAATTACTTAATTACATAAGCAGCAAGTCCTGCATCACTCTGCCTGTTGCCATGGTAACACCATCACTGCTCTGGATTCAGGCTTGGCCGCCTTTCCGCTCGTCTCRGTGGATGACTGCCTGGTTTWATTTTTTTTATTTTTTGGTGAACGTTAGTTGGGTTTTTCTGTGTGTGAAAGAGAATCCTAAATTTCACGGAGAGGGGGGTTGGGGGGCAGCGGTGACAGCAGCTGCTTGACTCAGATTAATGAAGAATAATTAGTTAACGGCTTTGAGACGGCTGTCGTTCATCACAGAGAGACAGGAAAGTGACGAGCGTGGGGCAGAAAGATGATCATGTGAGCTATGGATSTATGCCTCCTGAAAACATAATTGTGATGTTCTGCGGTGGATGAGGCATGCAGGGGGTTGGAGCCAAGCAGGCTAATGCTGGATTAGAGTCCAAATACTGTACGCATGGATGGAAATATGTCCCAAATTAGTCTCCTTTTCWAAACMGTAATCCAATCTGAGCACACGGGCAGGGTGCAAATTTATGCACTAAAAGTCTCACTTTAAAATCTGCAGAAAAAGATGCTTATTATAGAGCTTATTAAATAAAAGGTGGGCTGGTTTTTCTCCTTGATGTATYGAGACGGCTTTTTTAATCAAAGTAGTTTGAATACAAGAAAAAAACTGSTACAAACCAATGCTTTCTGTAGCCATGATGCTTTCAGGTTTTGTTTTGTTTTCTTCCTAGTTCTGTACCATTCATCGGCTGCTATACCAAAAGTCTGTCCACTGTTGCCCAACACCACACRGACAACATGTACCTCTTATATATTGGGTCATCTTTTTATGTTTAAATTGTTGCAGAGCTTTTCCAGGGTCTCCGCAGGGTTGTAAAAAGTATTAAAAGGTTGTAAATCAATTAAGCAAAAATTAAAGCCATTAAAAAGTATTAAAAGATAATAAACGCCATCTGATGAGGGAGGTATTAATTTTTAAACAACTAGCGCACTTCCGCCATGCTGGAATCTGATGCACTGCTTTGAAAACAGATTTAACAAACATTTCTCTTGCCCTATCTGAGATGCAGCTTTCACTGTAGACAGGCCTACTAGCCAATCAGAAATAGTGTGGGGGCGGGACTTAAGTGTAGTAGCAGAAGTGGGAGCGGTATTTTAAATAAAATATATTTGTCAGGAAAGTCTAAAAAAGAACAGGAGACAATATCAAAGCTGGAAGTTTATGTCCTTGGAAAAGGGCTTTAACTAGAGAGACTTGTAATCTCAACCAGTTGTGTTTTTGCTATAACTGGACTTAGATAAATATAACTTAGGGTTGTTCTGTGCCAAATAACCCAATGGGTTTAACCCTGCCATCTCATTGATTGCTCCTACACAAAAACAAAATTGTTTTAGATAACTAGTGGGGGTTTAATTTTAGGAAAAGTTATCTCAAGGTCATATGAAAAATCAAAGGATTAATGGACCCCAACATGCTCCATTCAGGAAAGTAAGGGCATATTTGGAATCCTCAGCAAAATCCTTTTCGAAGGACATAAAAATTGAGAAAATGGGTCTGGTAGATTCCGAGAACATTGTGGGTGAAAATGGTTAGCCAAGCCCATTTTCCCCTCAAAAAATAGAAAATTTGTTGGGCGATATCTCTGGAATGATCGGTCCTAAAATTTGAGATACTGGGATGTGRYGTTGCAGTGRACAAATGTGCCAAGTTTMATCAGAAACYGAGATGGGAGGGTTAAAATTTTCCYTTTTTTGGGGTGACTTGRTGYAGAATGACCCCTTCGAGTTCAAACKTGACCAACTTTATAAAGAAATATTKTTTAATACTACCACAGAGTGAAGAGCCACGAACTCTTTGCTGTCCTCGCATCACCTCCTTTTGCTTTGTGGCCATTAGCTGTTTTAAAAWTTCAAAGCGCCGGACAGCCGCTTCRAAAATCTCGCGGCTGCTTATGGACTTGGGCTATGAGATATTCATAAAGCTTTGCAATTAAAATCTCTCTGAACTTTAAACAACCCACATCTCAAAAAAGCCCTAAAGGGTTTGAGGAACTCAGACTTTTTGGAGTGGTCCAACTTTTTGTATCACTCTTCTTTTTCTTTTCCAGTCTATACTTGTACAAACCAAAAAAACATGACCCCAATGCTGTTGAAAATATTTTATTCTTCATCTTTTTGCTTTTCTAACTATTAACACTTAAAAAGTGGTACACTGAATGCATAAAGTGCRCAAATTTATGACATTAGTGAATCGAGCAAGTGTTTTTGTGCTTGCTTTCTTCCACACTGCACCWAA